GTAATTAAAATCCTCCTCAGCAGTGGCGGCTGGTGAAAAATATTTTTGGTGAGGCTGATATAGCCTAGTGTATATCTCCAACTAATCCAGAATAAGAATTCAAATAAACAATTGGAAATTAAATACAATTTAACAGTAATGATTTAATTTACTATATAATAACAGTAACAGTGATGATTTTGGTCACTGTGACGGGGTTCTTTGCCCTCCAAGAATCCAGGCTCAGCCGGGTTACCGGTGTTGGTGATTTATTGTGCTCAAAAACTCAAAACAGGGTGCAAAAGAAACTAAACATATACAAGATACTCTGGGTCTCAGCCTCCCTCCAGTTACCAGCAATGTAACAAAGAAACAGAAAACAGAAATGGCTGCTCTTCTTCCCACAGCCCTCATTAAATAGTTTAAGCCCCTCACCTCAGGCTCTCTTATTTCTGATTTCTTCTCATAAATCAGTTTTGTCCATATATTACCTCCACAAACAATTGATATACAAAAACAAATAATTTTTACAACTTAATTCCTTTACACAGGTTCATTGACTTATTCAATTACATCAAAATTTTAAACATAAAATAAAAAAAATATATAATCTGACAAACATTTAGCGAGTCAAGTGTTGGTGACGTCACTTCCGCATTCCAACAACTGTAGCGTTTTCACCGCTTACTGAGCATTGCCTCGGGTTTGAACCCAGCAAAGACGCCGCCCGACTGAAGATGACAAGTCCCTGTAGCATACACACGTACACACACGCACACCCACAGCCCCCACACTCACACACACACACACGGCTAACCCCACTGAAATTTTAAGTGTGCACCCTCAATACCCCAGCAGGTAACCAGGAACAGCTTGTGTGTTTTAAGTTAATGGAGCTACTGGGCTCAGCGCGAGCGGATTGGTCCTCACAAGCACAGTATAACAGGAATGTGTGTGTGGCACACAAAGTTAGAGAGGTTGTTTTAAGTGACGAGCTGGATTCGTCACAGTTACAATAACCATGACATGAAATTTTCATACCCTACAACAGGGATGTTCTTCTGGCAAACGGGTAGATAAATAAGGATCTCACCGAATTTGGTGGAAGCTGCATCTCGCTCGTTACGTTCGCCATCTTCCCTCTAATTGTCTGCACCTGCGCATTGGGTGCAGAAGCCTGTTAAAGGGCAGTATTTTCAGAGCCCCAAGACCATAAAATTCTGAGACGCTGATTGGCCATTAAATTATTAAATTCACCTAGCAATAGTACATGATTGGCAGATTCTATGCACTTGTGGGGCAGTCTAATCAGAGCCCCAAGACAGAGACGGTAGGAGTCTGTCTCTGGAAATCCACAAATGAATAACAGTAGATAGGGAAATGTACTGAGACAGGAGCACACAATCGTATACAGGTGCTGGTCATAAAATTAGAATATCATGAAAAAGTAGATTGATTTCAGTAATTCCATTTAAAAAGTGAAACTTGTATATTATATTCATACATTACATACAAACTCATATATTTCAGATGTTTATTTTGTTTAATTTTGATGATTACAAATGACAACAAATGAAAATCTCAAATTCATCATATCAGAAAATTAGAATATTGTGAAAAGGTTCAAAATTGATGGCCCCTGGTGCCACACTCTAATCAGCTAATTAACTCAAACCACCTGCAAAAGCCTTTAAATGGTCTTTCAGTCTAGTTCTATAGGCTACACAATCATGGGGAAGACTGCTGACTTGACAGTTGTCCAAAAGACGACCATCGACACCTTGCACAAGGAGGGCAAGACACAAAAGGTCATCGCTAAAGAGGCTGGCTGTTCACAGAGCTCAGTGTCCAAGCACATTAATAGAGAGGCGAAGGGAAGGAAAAGATGTGGTCGAAAAAAGTGTACAAGCAAGAGAGATAACCGCACCCTGGAGAGGATTGTGAAACAAAACCCATTCAAAAATGTGGGGGAGATTCACAAAGAGTGGACTGCAGCTGGAGTGAGTGCTTCAAGAACCACCACACACAGACGTATGAAAGACATGGGTTTCTGCTGTCGCATTCCTTGTGTCAAGCCACTCTTGAACCACAGACAGCGTCAGAAGCGTCTTGCCTGGGCTAAAGAGAAACAGGACTGGACTGCTGGTGAGTGGTCCAAAGTCATGTTCTCTGATGAAAGTAAATTTTGCATTTCCTTTGGAAATCAAGGTCCCAGAGTCTGGAGGAAAAGAAGAGAGGCACTTCATCCACGTTGCTTGAAGTCCAGTGTAAAGTTTCCACAGTCAGTGATGGTTTGGGGTGCCATGTCATCTGCTGGTGTTGGTCCATTGTGTTTTCTGAGGTCCAGGGTCAACGCAGCCACATACCAGGAAGTTTTAGAGCACTTCATGCTTCCTGCAGCTGACCAACTTTTTGGAGATGCAGATTTCATTTTCCAACAGGACTTGGCACCTGCACACAGTGCCAAAGCTACCAGTACCTGGTTGAAGGACCATGGTATCCCTGTTCTTAATTGGCCAGCAAACTCTCCTGACCTTAACCCCATAGAAAATCTATGGGGTATTGTGAAGAAGAAGATGCAATACACCAGACCCAACAATTCAGAAGAGCTAAAAGCCACTATTAGAGCAACCTGGGCTATCATAACACCTGAGCAGTGCCACAGAGTGATCGACTCCATGCCACGCCGCATTGCTGCAGTAATACAGGCCAAAGGAGGCCCAACTAAATACTGAGTGCTGTACATGCTCATACTTTTCATGTTCATACTTTTCAGTTGGCCAACATTTCTATAAATCCTTTGTTTTTATTGGTCTTCAGTAATATTCTAATTTTCTGATATGATGAATTTGAGATTTTCATTTGTTGTCATTTGTAATCATCAAAATTAAACAAAATAAACATCTGAAATATATGAGTTTGTATGTAATGTATGAATATAATATACAAGTTTCACTTTTTAAATGGAATTACTGAAATCAATCTACTTTTTCATGATATTCTAATTTTATGACCAGCACCTGTATGCACACATAGACATATTTTTAAATATTTCTGTGTGTATTAATTTTTGTATTATTGTGTCTTTTACAACGATGTCCATTTTTATTTTAAAACTAACCAAACCACTAACATTCTTAATATGTTTTTTATTGGGTTATTTTAGCTCAAAGAGAAATGTTCTTATTGATTAAATCTACTTTAACCTGACAAACTCACACAGGCACATCCAGCAACCTAAAATAAAGCATTTCATTTTTTATTTAATCTTCCTTTATTAACGTTCCTGGTCTAATGATGTCTTTCCCTCACAGTTCCAGTCGCCGCCCTTCCTGACCCGGAGCTCCCGTTCTGGATTCAGGAACTGGGTAATTTTAATTCCAATTTTAATAACATCATGGGAGAACTGAGGAGAAGGATGACGATGAGGAGGTTGAGAGAACAGTTACACATTGAGGAGGTGGAGGAAGGTTCTTCTGATGATGAGGAGGAGGAGGTAGAGGCTGAAGCAGTAGTGGTGGAGGAGAATGAGGAGGTGGAGATACAGGATTCTGTGGAGGTAGAGGTTAAGGACGAGGTTGATGATGAGGACGAGGCTGAGGACGAGGTTGAGGATGCGGATGAGTATGATAGGTATTTTTCAAGTGAGTCTCTTGATGAGGATGACGAGAAGGCTGAGGATGAGTTTGAGGCTGAGGATGAGGATGAGCCTGAGGATGAGGATTATAGGTCTTTTTCTAGTGAGTTTCTTGAGGTATCTAGTGCGTTCTCCGGATATGACACCACAAGCTCTGAGGAAGAAGACGATGAAGATTCCCCGGACTGCCAAGAAGACCGTGCCTCTAGGAAAAGGAGAAGAGACGAAGATGAGGAAGATGATGAAGATGATGAAGACAATGACCACCTTCCACCTCTTATTCGGTTCACCCTGAGGATCCCCCCCCCCCCCCCCCCTTCAGACTCCCTTGGAACCAGGAGGAGCCGGAGGATTCCCCGGACTGCCAAGAAGACCATGCCTCCAGGAGAAGGAGAAGAGAGGAAGATGATGAAGAGGAGCCCCCTGGGAAGAGGCCTTGTGGCGAGAGGCATGTTTGAGAAGAGGGATTTCAAGAACCTTCCTTTAACGCCTTCAACTATCTATTTTATTGCTGATTTGGTGCCTTTTGGAGGTGGGAAGGCTGAAGGACTGGAAACAGTCACACCTAGATATCATTTATAGATCGTTTTTATATCTGGCAGGTCTAGGGATGCCTTAGGTAGCGTCTTGCACCCTGGCTTTTCTTTACCCCACTGCTAGATTTATTTTTTTAGATGCTAAGGAGTCTGGCAGGTCCAGGGATGCCTTAGGTAGCGTCTTGCACCCTGGCTTTTCTTTACCGCGCTGCTAGATTTATTTTTTTAGATGCTAAGGAGTCTGGCAGGTCTAGGGATGCCTTAGGTAGCGTCTTGAACCCCTGGCTTTTCTTTACCCCGCTGCTAGATTTTGATGTAAGTTTTAGATGTTAAGAATTTCCGTTAGCACAGACCTCTGAGGAGATGATAACAACTAATAAAAGGTGTGAAACATGAGAGCTGGTTAAGGCAGAAATAGTCTAACATGCTCTACATCTAATGTGGACATTCTGCTAGATAACAGAAGGAAACCCAAACAAGACGAAACACAGAATGGAGGCAAATCAACAAAAACAAATAAATAAAAAACACAAAAAGACAGAAATTAAATCCTGGTTAAAAGTTCAACCACAAGGAGGCAAACCAATTGAACGAAACAGCTGGACATCGCTGCTGAGAACAACGGAGGAGGTCAAACTTAAACCCTAAAGGAGAAAAACTGGAAAGAATGGAACAGAGACACAGCTTGTGGTGATCATCAGTTGAACTGGTCTCTGGGATGTTGGTGAGAAGGTAGAGAGATGACGCATGGTGGGACTAATTGATTTAGACCAGTTAGAGGCAGAGGACAGGACTGATGTGAGGATTTGAGTTATGAGAAGCACCGACTGTTAGAAACGGCTTTCCGATGTGACTTGGTCTAGTTCTAGATGTTCCTCTGGTTAGTTAGTGTTCAGGCCTAGTTGGAGGGAAAAGAACCCTCTGCAGAAATATTCTCCATATCATCTAGGCCTGTCCTGACCGCAGTGGATCTCTTCTGTGTTTTTTGAATCCCATGTTGGACCGAGCCGCTACAAGCTTTGGGCCATCAGAAGATGCTGATGAGATCTGCAGCGACCAAACCAGAGGAGGATCGTCTGGACTGCTGACCTTCACAAAGAGTGAGAGCATGTTCAGTAAGGAGCAACAATTATCCATCTTATAAATATATAGTTAACATTTCAGGTGCCCTCACTTAGTTTTTCATGTATGTTCAGACACTGTGGACGTCCAAAAGCAAAACTCCTGTGAGGAACCGGGACATCCAGGATGGTGAGGAGCTTCCCAGTCCCCACCTGAGGACGGCACAGAGAAAGACTGGAACAGAAAACACACGGAGTAAGACTTTATTAACACGACAAACCGACAACTCAAGCTTCCCAGGCCTGAATAAAAAATAACAGTCATTGAAACACAGAAAGACTAAGATTATGATGAAAACAACATCCTGCCCCAGATTTCAACTTGGTGTCGAGGAAATTCTGTAGATTAATTTGTCTTATTTTTTACAGGGAAAGCAGGTTGAACAGCTAGCAGTGTTCTAGCAGTCGGATCACATTGGAACCGAATCCATCCACAGATGTTTGGAGGTATGTTGGTTTGACTAGAGAAACATCACATGCAGATAGGTTAAGACTCTGAGGATGCTTTGCTTTTATTTATGAAGGAGCTGAAGAAGAGGATGGAGCACACAGTCCACTAAGGAGGAGAAACATGGCTCCTCTATTTGTCTCTCCAACATTCTGGAGTCTAAAAAACATTGACGACCTCGCAGCTGAAACATCAGTCTGCTACACTCAGTAAAAGAAGGTAATGAACCTTTATTGCTTCCAGATGTTCATCAGTATTGGTGAAGATACTAAAAACAGATCCAGAACAAACAGATACAAAAGCTACAACCATCCCATCAAGGTGGTCTAACCTTTAATCTTCATCTTTCCATCATGAATTGATGTTCACGTCTATTTGTATCTCTGTAACCAAACCTTTATCAGAACCAGAAGTTCTGACTTTTCCATTAAACCACAGAGAAACAGTTAAGAAGCAGCTTCTGATCCAATATGGGAGAATTTTGGCCTGGTTGATCTCTGAAGTTTTTTAAAACCTATTAAAGCAGAGAAACGACCGACTGTATGGAAGTAAATCTGTGTCGCTGTGGTTTGAATTAAAAATGCCACTGAAATTTAAATGTTGTATGTTTGTACTTACTGTTTCAGTGTTAAGATATATTCACAACACATTTTTGACCTAAAAAAATGTTGTCATTATTTCTACACCGTTGAAATTTCATTTGTTATTTTCTCTTCAAGCTAAATATTCACATTACTATTTCAACGTAATTACATTTTCAATACTTATTTTTCAGTAAAATTTTTGAGTGTTAAAAAAATCTGCATATAAAAAAATTCAACCTTTCAAAATTCAACCTCAATTTTTTTTTTAGCTTAAAGAGAAAATAACAAATTAAATTTCAACTGTGTAGAAATAATGACAATGATTTTTTTTACGTCAAAAATGTGTTGTGAATATATTCTAACACTAAAATAGTAAGCACAATCATACAACATTTAAATTTCAGTAGCATTTTTAATTCAAATCCCAGCGACACAGATTTACTTCCATAGACTGTAGACTCCAACAAATGCAGCCTTTTCAGGCATTTTCTCCAAGCATCCATTGTTTACAGTTATCACTTCTGTTAACTTTAGGTTCTCCCTGTGTGTTTCCCTCTTCTATTGGTTAAAGTTACACCTCTCCCAGTGTTTATGTGTTTAAATGTCACAGACTATCGTGTTCGTTCACTAACTCTTGTTCTTTTTTTCCAGATAAGGTCATCTGCTCCTTGGACCGGCGCCTCTGTGTCTGTCGAACGTCTGCTGTCCTGTTAAAGACCCGCTCAGCCACAGTAGATGGGCGCTGACATGGAGCTACTGGAGGTTCCTTCCTGCTTGAAGCTGGTTTTCCTCTCCACTGTCAGGAGGAGGCACTGCAGCAACATTGACGACTGGATGTGATTGGCTGAGCTTCCTTGGATTGAATTCTGTGAATGCCATGATACACTAAATTTATCTTTACCATATTGTAAATAGGATCTAACCGGATGTTTGTGTTTAGATTTGATTCTGTGTTTTTTTTTTTTTTTTACTTCTGTTACATGTTTCTGTATTAAAATTGTCATGTTAATTGCCTTTAGATGACATTTGTTGGGACTTGTTTCTATTTTAAAACTTATTTAAATTAAATCCCGTACTGGGTCTGGTTCTGTTGAAGTATGCTTCCTGTCGTTTTATCTTCATCTGTTATTTCTCACTATAATAAAGGTTTGATTGCAGTAATGTGAACAGGATCTGTTTGTATTTTCTGGTAAAGTGTCTTGAAATAAGTGGTTGTAAATTGATTCTTTATAAATAAACCAAACTTAAGTCAAATGGAGCAAGAGACCTAATATTACTATAGTACAGCGCTTTGGCAGATTGGTGGTTATTATTGTTTCCCTGTTGGGGGTCTGACCTGACAGCTCATGTTAATAGAACAATTGTTCTTGTCACCTTGCAGTGTCAAAACAAATTAGCTTTAAAAAAGGACAGTGAGACGTTCCTCCTGCAGTTCTTCTCATTTTATTGACCTTATAGACAATCTGGGAGTTAAGCATCAGAGCAGAAGGGACACATCAACACTGAGCCACACAAAGAACAACAAACAAATATGGGAGGATAATTAAAGATTAAAGTTAAAATAAAACAGTAAAAAATTCAATCAACAATGAAGATAGCAGGAACGAAATGTTTAGTGAACCCAAAGGCAAACAGCTTTGGTTAATTTGAATAAAACTAAAACGTTTTAAGGTGATTTTCTCTTCTTTAAACTATACCTTTATATCTCTACCATATTTGGTCCCTCAGGGTTGCATTGCTCACTCCTTTTAGCAGAAACCAACTAGTTAATGTTTCCGGCTCTATATTCTATCAAAAGAAAAGGGGAAAATGGATTTAAATGGATTTATGATCCTAAACTCACATTTAAACAGGTTTTGGAATAAATTAAGCAGCTTTAAATGAACTTCTGGAACCTCGGCCATTGTCATGTCTTGAACACGTTTAAGGCTACGTTCACACTGCAGGCATTAACACACATTTCTGATTTTTTTTTAGGAAATCTGATTATTTTGCGTGGTTGATCTCATTTCCAAATGTGTAATCTTCTGTGTGAACTGAATTCTTTCAACTTAAGTGTCACAAGGGAGCGTGTTCTATGTTTACAGAAGTAAACATGGAAGGTAGAGCTGGAGCGCATTTGCAATCTTTCATTTCTAAAAAAATATAAAAAAAAAAAACACACAAAATGGAGCTGTTTACAAATAAAAGATTAAAAAAAAACTAAAAAATATACTCTGTAAGTAAAATAAATAAAGGTGAATGGTAATGGTGAATGTGCTTGAATTAAAGGGTAGGTTGTTCCAAAGGTTCTTCCATGTTTTGTTTGCTCCTATAAAAGACATTGATCTAAAGGGTTTGTAAAAATCTTCACCAGGAATAAATATTATATATATATATATATATATATATATATAATTAATGTCTTTGTATTAATATAGTATTATTATAGTATTATTGAGGTTGTTAGAATAGCTCCTTAGTATCTCAATATGCAACCGTTACAAAGAAATGCAGTATAATATCTTACATAATATATATATATATATATATATATATATATATATATATGGAGATATGTATACATTATGTAAGATATTATACTGCATTTCTTTGTAACGGTTGCATATTGAGATACTAAGGAGCTATTCTAACAACCTCAATACTACTATATTAATACAAAGACATGAATTATTCTTTGTTCTACGTTTTCATAATAATGAACCTGCAAGAAAATAAAGAAAGAAGAGAATAGAAGGAATAGGGATGTCTTTAGTCTGTAGATGCCTCCAGGAGCAGACAGAGCTTTGTCACTGGCCTTTTCAACACACTGGTTTTGGTCTAAAGTTGCACTGAACGAACCAGGCCTCATGCATCAGCTTTGACTGCCAGGACTCTCCCTATCTGCCAACATCCTCTGGCTGCAGTAGCATCTGCAATCAGGACAATCTCTCCAGGAGAGATTTTCTTGTCCCTTTCATCCACTTTTGTCTTTCCTGTAGTAATGGCAGATACTCAGAGATCCATTTTTTCCAAAATAGTTCAACCATATACTGTACTTGCTTCCATCTGCGCCTGATGTACAGGTCTCGTTTCTGAAACAGTCCAGATGGCAGATCCAGTTTCCTCTTTAATGTCAGAATGTGATTTGGTGAGAGGGCTTCTAAATCATTTGGATTCTCGGAGACCAAAGTGTCATGATTTTATCCAAAGATCTGACCCACATGCAGAAAACCAAACAGAGAGACCAGGGGAAGGTTTAACAGGTTTATTATGAACTGGTAGAGAAGGGTCCAGTGCTGCTCTGAACACTGGCGAACCGGGACTGAAAAGTGAAGGGGAACATCCTGTGGTTACTTAAATTCAGAGGGAAGTTTGTGTTTCGATTTGTAAAAGGGAATAAAGGCTACAGCACTCACGTTTCCAGAAAAGGTGTCTTTCTTTGAATCCAATCGGTGTGGATTGTTCCAGTAATTGACCTGCTCGTTGGAGGGCGGACAGGGTTTACCCAGGTTGAGGTGTTTGCTTGAGGAACAGAGGAGCAGAATGCCACTTAGATTTCCTATGGTACTAGAATGGTTTCTTGTGGACATGAATCCCCTGCTCAGTGTGAAGCTCAAACAATCCTTGTGGAAAAGTTGATCCAAACCACCTGTTTGAATCCTCAGCTCAGTTTGATGCTCAGACAATCCTTCCAGGGGGGAGAAGGTCCAAAACATTCCGTTTGCAGGAAGACTTCCTGCCGAGAGGCAAAGATAAAAAACAGCAAGGTTAAGACTCAGGTGACAAAAACTTAGTCTGACTCAGCAAAACTCAGATTGGCTAGAGTACCCAAAACTGGCAAACACTCTGGTGTCGAGGTAGTGGCAGTCAGCAGCTTAAGAGTCCTCCACAGGTAATGAGGCAACCATCCGCAGGTGTGTGAGAACCAGGCGTCACCTGGTGGTGGAGGGAAAACAAACAAAAACACAACCCACACAAACTGGATTCCTAACACAAAGTGATTGGTCAGTCATTCAAAATAGCTTCAGCCTCACAGAAAACAGTTTGCAGTGTTTAATCATCTACATCCTGTTTTAGAACTGAGTTGAGTACACTCCTGGCTGAACGGATCAAGCACTCCCAGATGCCACCTTGATGTGAAGAAGCAGGTATATTGAAATGCCAGTTTATGCCATCCTGCACCAGAGCCTTTTGGATTTTACTCTGGTTTAAGGCAGCCAGACTTTCTCTTAGCTCTCTTTTGGCTCCCACAAAATCTGTGCCATTATCTGACCTGATGGAAAAGACTGTACCGCGCCTGCAAATGAATCTTCTGATTGCATTATTGCAAAAATCTGTGTCAAGGGTATGAGCCATCTCCAAATGAACGGCACGACTAGTTGGGCAAGTAAATAATAATCCATAACAT